TATAGATATATTCTTTAAGATATGAAAATATGTTCCTTAAAAATATTTGCAAAATTGATTAGTGAAAATATTTTTTTTAGAATCTTGTTATCTCCTTAATTTTTAAATATTCCAATTCACAATTTTAGCATAAATTTCGCAAAATTTTATTAATTTAAGTGTATTTGTGATATTAGATAAACTTGTTTCTCATACCATATATTATGTATATATGGAATCTCATATGTTATAAATGAATTTTTGTGAAGTCGTACCTAAAAAACTCAATTCTGGATACTTATGATGATCACTGTATATACAAACATCTGAAACTCACAAATTCTGACGCATATTGTTTATTAAATGTTGCAAAACATGTAAATATAATTCTTTATTGTTAATAATCACTAATTGAAATAATAATGATCGATGCAATTTTACATGATGCGATTTTTTGAATGTTTACGATGCAAATAATTTAAAACCGATATTTAAATAACTAACGACTAAAAATTTACAAAATTTAAATAAACTATTCTTTACCACTCTGTATACCCTCCTTTAGCCTCAATTACATCATTTATTCATTCGAGCAAACTTTCAATTACACTAGTTAAAAAGTTATGATCTGTTTCTATCCATATTTTTGAATAGCTTCCCATAACTCATCTTGAGTACGAACTGGATTTTCTAACCTTCTCAAACGTATATCCATCTCATTCCAGGATGTTTTATAGGGTTGAGGTCAGGAGATTGTGGTGGCCATTCTAATACCTCAATATCATTATCATAAAACCATTGCTCCGTTAAATTATCAGTATGCTTCAGATCGTTATCCTGCTGGAAAATGATATTATTCTTATCCAGCTCGTAATGCTCGATAGTTCCTAACAAGTCATCATTAAAAAGTTTGCAGTATAATTCCTTATCCACGGTGCCAAAAATGCGTATGATGTTACTAATACCGAAGGAAGAAAAGTAACCCCAGATCATAATACTTCTGTCACCAAATTTGACCGTACGTTTTACATGACGAGCATCTAATGATTTATTTTTGCTTTTCCAACAATATTTATGACCGTCTGACACATATATTATAAACTTAGACTCGTCTGACCAAATCATCCTGTACCAATCATCCACCGTCCAATCCTTGTATTTCTTAACAAATTTTAAACGCAATTTTTTTAAATATGGTTTTTTTCGTTTAATTCTAGCAGAAAAACCATTTCTACGTAAAGTTCTTCTTATAGTACCATTGCTTACATTGATTTTATTATTAGTTTATAAATTTTTTTTAATCGATCATTCACCACTCGAAATATATCGTATAATACTACGTTCATCACGACCTGTAAAAAATCGTGGGTGGCAGATTGGTAAATCTTTTACAGAACAAGTAGTTTCTATTTTTTTAAGTCAGATAACAGAAGATTGCGCAATATTTTCTCTTGATGCGATATAATGGGAAGAGAATCCTTCTTGAAGAAGGCAGAAATTCGTGATCTTCGTTCCATAGTGATACGACCCATATTGATATATTGATATAGCGATATGTTTATTAAAATGAAATGAAAAACTATACTAATAGGTATAACTTTTATATATTATTCGAGTTGTGTTTTGTTATAAAATTTGGAAATATTATATGGATTTACTTTTGAACGAACAAATAGTCAAAAAAAACACATCGCTGAAATATTACATTTTGTAAATTATATCGATATGTTGATTTATTTCCAAAAATAGTAATTAAATTAATTTTAAGGAATTCTAGTTTGTATTGTTACCGGGGGTTAAGAATTATTTCGCTAATCTCTCAATTTGGTAAATCCGCCTAACCCGATTTCGTTGTGAAATTCTATTTTTATTTCGCTTTTGTTTTCTATCTTAACTTCGCTTTTGATCTCGCTTTTATTTTCGCTTTTGATCTCGCTCTTGTTTTCTATTTCTTTTTCTATCTTAAATTCTCTCTTAAATAATAGTGCATTATGCAACAAGTTCCGAAACAATACTTCATAATGTAATCAAAAAGATGTATATATAGTCATCGCAGATGTTAATAAAGACACAGAATTAAATTGCGTACAATTCTTCTCCAAGTAAATTAGACTTGTAAAATTGTTGTAATTGATTGTTAGGTCCAGAAAAGGCGTTGATATTGTTAAACGGCATATTGATTGATTGATTGAAAAAAGCGCCTTGTGATTAAACAGTTTAAGGCTTTTAGCTAGAAAAAGCAACGATTGGAAATTAATAGGAAGAATATTATAATAACCGTCACATAAAAACATAAAAGCCCAAAACTACCTTACCTAAAAACCGACCCATCCAAATTCCCCTCTCTACCGTCATACTAAACGATATCCGTAGATATCGGCACAGGAAACAAACGAACACCACCGCAGTCTAATCACTCCCCAACTCATCGTTACAGGTAAAACTCGTCGATTACGCATAATCACGATCCACCCGTGACAGTATATTAATAACATGTAAAATCACGAGATATTACCATTATTATTTTTTATTTACATGATACAAAACATATGATGGCCACTGTATCTTGTGATAGCGGGAAGACTATTTTTGCGTTGGGAAGTTTCTCCCAAAATTCAACAATTCACGTAGGCAGTGGGGAAGAACTAAAAGGTAGCAGAAAAAGAGGCTTAATTTATTTGCGCAATCTGAGCAGTGGGTTCAACCAGACAGATATTGCATACTACAACTTCAGCAGTAAGAATCACAGTGGTCGCGAAAAGGATTTTTAGCAGACAGGCCAATGGATCCAGCTGTGGGAAGATTACCATAGAAAAAATAAAAGGCAACATTAGTTATTTCTACACTTCTTCAGCCACCAAAATACATATAACGACTTCATAGATTACCTTGAAGTTCTTACTCTTTATAATAGGAATCAATGTACGAGGTACAGGTTAATAAATGAAAACATTGTAAGTCATCCTCATTGGGTTTTAGGTCTAACTTTTGTAAAAAGTTGATAAGTTTGTCTGTATTTAATTTCTTTATCTTTTTAGCCAACGAGGACGAGGGAGAATTTTTTTCTACATTTATTGAAAAAATTTGTTCACAAGGCGATGCACGTTTCCTATATCGTTATAATATAAAAATATTCAATTTAATATTCTATTGCCCTATATATCGATATCAAATAAAAAACATCACCACTTAGTATAGCCACACCCTGAGCCGCTATTACATCATCGATCCGTTCTGGCATGGATCGAATTAAATTAGTGCATCCAATTCACACCAAACCTGCTCTACCTTTTCACATACAGTGGCCCGCATAAATAACGCACCACTCGCATTGACGACCTTTAATCACACAATTCTCAATCGCTAAAGATCCGACAAGCACACAAATAATAAATTAAACAATAATATATGTAAATAAAAAATGAACAGACGTTATCGTTATTATCTGTAATAATCGTTAATCCGTATAAATGCCGGTGCGTTTTTGGACTAAAAATTTATTCGTTCGATATTTTATTAAAATAATAATATATAAACAAAAAATTATACAAAACATTATTTTCATCACCTTGTATAATCCCCCCTGCGCTTTAATCACATTATTAATCCTTTCCGATATCTTATTAATCAGATCAATACAACGATCAATTTCGATGTCATCCCAAACCTCTTCAAACTTTTCCTAAAGATCATTTTTATTTGAAATTACACCCGGAAGAGCACGAAGACAAGTATCTACATCATGCCACAAATTTTCAATTGGATTTAGATCGGGTGATTGTGGCGACCAACTCAAAACAGTCACTTTATTATTTTTGAACCAGGCCAACGTTTTATCCGCATTATGTTTCGGATCATTATCCTGTTGAAAAATAAAATCATTTAGCTCTAAATTATGCAAATCCAATGACAACATAAGTTCATTTGAAAGTATTTGTCGATAATATTTGCCATCCATTATCCCATCGATCTTATGAAGGTATCCAGTACCGTTAATGCCGAAGCAACCCCATACCATTATACTACCACCGCTGAACTTGACCGTAGGTTAAACGTAAGCACTTTTTAGTGGTTTGTTTTTTATTTTCCAGCAATATATTGATTTGTCTGACCACACCACTCGCGACCAATCATCAACCAACCAATTCTTATATTTTTTTTGCGAAGACCAATCAATCGCTTTTCACGATGTTTGACAGACAAGTACGGCTTTTTTCTTTGACCCGCAACACCAAACCCTGTCTACCTAATGCCCTACGTATAGTACTAACTTCACATTGATTTTTTCATTTATTAATAATGATTTTTAAAGTTGAACCGCATTTGAACATTCGCATGCACGTTCATCACGTATATTGGGTTGTCGCGGACGACCCAATTTAGGCTTGTTTTTGATGCTATTCGTTTCTTTATACTTCTTTTGAAGTCTTGTGATGGTTGTATGTTGGATCTTATATCATGTGGCGATGTGTCGAGCGCTGTATCCTTGTTGAAGTAAAAGAATTATTTGGGAACGTTGTCCTATAGTAAGTGGCATTATAATTTTTTATTATTGTGGTTTTTCGCATAATTATATATAGGAAAAAAATTTTTGATAAAGCTTACTTTGCTCTCGAGGGGATTAACGAGTATTGCAGATAATTGGGAATAATATCTGCTCGTTTTTTATCCCTTTGTAGGGCTGTGTTAATAGATGTTTGAGTGTTATTTGTGTGTTCGTCTGCTCGCATATGATCGCAAATCAAGTGATTAATGCTCAGCGATACAAGTGGTGCGTTATTTATGAGGGCCACTGTAAGTCATCTTTGCCCGAAATCAAACCACGAAGATCGTAAAGACCACGGTCTATATACTTCATTCCATAAGTGCTCGATCGGGTTTAGATCGGGGAATTGTGGTGGCCATTCCAAAACAGTCACGTTATTATCACGAAACCATGCAGTGTGTTTGGGGTCATTATCCTGCTGGAAATGACCTCATTAATATCCTAATCATAGTCGCGAATAGTATTCAAAGATCTTCTGATAAAATTTGTTGATATAGAGCATCATCCATGATACCATCGATTTTGCAAAGATACCCTACACCACGCGAAGTAAAACAACTCACACCATGATTCCATCACCCCAAACTTAACCGTAGGCTTTGTATGATGACTTGATAGCGGCTCATCCCGGTCTTTTCCAATAATATTGTCTCCCATCTGACCCAAAAACCTGAAACTTACTCTCATCTGACCAAATTATTTTTGACCAGTCTTCGTAGGCGAATTCAAGTCGGCGTTGCTGGTGTTCTGGTTTTAGGTATTGCTTTTGTTGTTTGATTCTTGCTACCAGACCATTTTTTTTTTGAGTGTTCGGCGAACAGTAGGAACTGAAACTTGAACATTTTCTATTTCTTGTAGACGATTTCGAACTTGAACGGAGGTAGAACAGTCACGGGAGGTAATAAAACGAATTGCTTGTCTTTCTAGTCGGTCTGTTAAAAGGTGGACGACAGATTTGCTTGCGTTTTCGAAGATATGTTTTTCACGCCATCTTTTGTTAATGCGGGACACCGTGGAATGACTAATTTTTCGTACTAGCTTCATTTTGGAGCAGCAGAATTATTTGCACTCGTTCTGGTGGTGATTGTGGTGGTAATCGTGGTGGTGATTGTGGTGGTAATTGTGGTGGTGATTGTGGTGGTAATCGTGGTGGTGATTGTGGTGGTAATTGTGGTGGTGATTGTGGTGGATATCGAGATCGAGGTTGAGATTGGCGGGTCTGGGAGCGAGTTTGCCTGCTCATTTTCTTATTAAAAAAGAAGAAAATGAGTATATACATGTACGTGAATGTGTGTTCATGCATTAGCGAATGCAAGTAAGAAAAACTTACCTTAATACTGGTCATGGTGGTCGTGGTGGTCGTCGTCGTGAAATGCTGATTTCTTCAAAGAAAATCACTATTTTCAATTATGAAATTCAGCATAAAGTATCAGTGTTACGAAAGTCAGGGCTGACTGGGGGTTTGCTGCTTGGCAACGAAGGCAACCTTATAGTGCCTTTTCGACCAAGTTGAGAGAAATGGCTCAATAATTACTCCTTGCTCTCGCTAGAAACGAAAATATTTGTTTTACTGGCGGAGGAGTGGTTTCACGAGCGCTTCTGTTGGACTGTTTTGAGGAACCAGATCTTGAATCGGTGGTCCATATGTATTGTTGTTCTAAATATGTAAATATTTGGATCTTTACAGAGATTTCGATTGACACGATTTAAATGTTCATTTCGTTCTGATATGACGAAAACTGTCCATTCTTCCTCGGCTCTGATCGATAAACTTCATCAAGTACTTCTTCATCAATAAGGCGTTTCTGTTGTGTGTCTGAACAAAACCTATTTACATCTTACTTGCCCACCTCTCGTCAGCTCGTCTTACTGACAACTTGAATCCGCTCTTGGAAAAGTATGTATCTGCAGCCAAACTTCAAACAGTCAAGTGAGTGAGTCGCGTAAAGAATCGCGGGAGACTTCCAGCAGAAAGGTGTTATTTAACACGTCTATGGTGGATTTGAACATATTCTTAATATTTTTCTCAATAACTTGAGCAATCGATTTGCTTGGTTTCTAAGTTATTAAATTATGCTTGGACTGAGGCGTAATATTTTATATATATTGTCTATTTCTTTTTACTTTTTTAGAAGTAGTTGTTAATGTTAATGTAAACATCAAAAGTTTTTCTGCGCAACCAATAAGTTTTGATCTGCCGGTGGCACAGGCGTAATTATAATCTCTGCTTGGTTCCAGAACAGATGATAAACCAAACAAAAATCCGACACAAAAAATGTAATGTGAAAAATACGGGAAACAGATGTCCAAATCTAACTTGGAGCTCTAATAAAAAATGTCAGGGAGGCAATTTTACATGTAACTTTGTTCACTCTAACCCTTACACTAACCCAAACGATAAAATCATTCTTTAATAGTTGCCGGCACACGTATAATTTGCGCATGCTTATTGGTTTGATATCATGTGATCGCGAACCGTGCACAAATTATAATTACGCGTGGCAAAACAAATCCGGCTCAAGAAAATGAAAAATGCTTAAATCTAGTTGATGCATTAATAAAAAATGTCAGGGAGGCAATTTTATAACTTTAATCCTGACTTTAAAATCAACCTTTAACTTTAATTAACGTTTTTCGGATGCCCATGTGTATACACAGATCAAGTAATTTGCAGAAAACCTGGGACAATAAAAATACTCCTCCGCCAGTGAAATAAGTATTTTCTTGCTCTAGCGATGAGCAAGGAGTAATTGTTCATTTCTTTGCCAAAAAGACACTCTACAAGTTCTTTGTTGAAAACAAGCACAGCATCTCTGAAAATCGTAAAATACGTAGTTTTTCACTAATAACTTTTATTTTTACTAAGACAAAGTTGTTCGGAATGTACACAATTGTGTCTACAAATTTTCGTTCAATTTGAATTAATTTTGAAATAACGATTTTTAGTCTGACCCGAAATATTTCGGGTCAGGTTTGACACCAACCCGATCCGAAGTGTGCGGTTTGTGTTACGGATTGGACCGACTCAATTGGAGCACTAGTCATGAATCTAAATGATTTTCGAACAGAATTTGCCTGCCTAAATATGCATCTATCATTTCAAATTGGATATCAACATTGTTCTGGTTTAGTTTGTTGATGTAGTCAAAAATATGCCAATTAACGTAAATCTCTGAAAATAAGCAACAAATTGCAAAATTTTTGGAGGCCAAAGAGAGGAAGTTGCTTATTTTTGAAAGTTAGAGTTTTCTTATGAATTAGACTTGGCAAAAAGGGATTGCTTATTTTCAGAATTTATAATCAGTCTTCAATAAGATACTTTTATTGATTTCTAAATAAAGTTTTTGAAAAAAGCTATGTTTCGATATAGTTACTTATAATTAATACTTCAATTATAAATCTTTTTTGTAACTTCATTAATCATTATACTGCTTTAAAAAAAATTATATTATATTATATTATAAAGAGACAAAGAAACTCCTATACAATAAAAGAAAAGTGTAAAACTATCAAATTGATATATCATATTTTAAATAAACACATTATTCAATATCTTATTCTAGATCTAGCAATATTTGATTCGTGAATTAAACAATTTTCTTAGAAAGATGAGAATTTTCCTTACAAAAAAATATTTAAAGAATTAGTTTGAACAGAATGTGATTTTTTTTAAAGAGAAAGTTCAACTTTACTAATGGATAATGGCATCTTGTAAGAAGAATTGCACTGTTATATATATTAATATAAAATTAAAAATGTTAAAATGAGATAAAAAAGCTTGCTATTAGCAACTTTAAATATTTATCATATTGACTAGATTATTTTTTAAAATATTACAATCATTTTTCAATATAAAATCAAAATTTTACAAAAGTTAATAAGAAATCTTGAAGAAAAATTGCTTAGCTTTTAGCAGTTTAAATTTAAAAGATGAGAAAACAGTTTATATAGTGCATAAACTCTAAAATTATCAAATATTTATATGCATAAACTTTTTTATTAAGAAGTAAATATCAAATTTAATTTATAAATATACTCAGAAAAGATCAATTTTATCATATTCACAGATTAAATTTTGTATTTAATTCTTGATAAAAAAGTTTATTCATTTTATAAAATAAAAACATTTAATAACTTTAGATTTTATACATTATATAAGAATATTGCCAAAAATATTTTAGCAGAGTTTTAATGGATTATATACTAATTATTAATTAATATTTTAACAGAAATTTAGTTTTATAAATTTTAAAATTCAGCAAAATTTTAGTATCTTATTTATTAATAGTTTATTATAATTTAAATAATTACTAAAAGATTTTAACAAGCATTCTTAAGTTTATATCTAAATTACAAAAAATCACAAAAATTAATTTATTATTGTCTTAATATATTTTACTAATGGTATGAAACTTTTACCAGTTGATATCTTTAAGAAAAAACTTGATCTCATAATATATTTTTAGCTTTAGCTGATATAATTATTTAATTTTAAAAAATATATAAATGAATAAAAATAAATAAAATATTAGGATAAAGCATAATTAGAAGAATTTTGTCAATGCTTGTTTTTGATTTCTTTTAGAATATCTTATAAAATAGATTAAGATAGCATTATATTTAGAGAATACAGAATTAGTTATTATTTCAAGTAACTTTACTAACATGTACTAGTTTTTTGATTTTAGTATAAACAAATCTTTTAAGTATAATCTTTATAAGTATTAATATAAGTGAATAATTAAAGATAATAATAGTATTATTAAAAATAAAAACTTAAAGTACACTGATCTAGCAACAACATATAAATAGATTTTGAACACATGAAATAATATTTTCTATTCAAATCTTTAAAAAGTATACTATTTCAAATTATATATAAAAAAGAACAATTTTATCTATGAGAATGATAATAATAGAAATTCAAAAAAATCTGATGAAAATAGAGCCAATGAAATTTCTAATAAAAATAGAAATGTAAATGAATATTCTAATGAGGAAAATAATAAAGAATTTGATGGTTGAAAATTTGATAATAAATAATTATAATTATATGAGATCTTTTATTTTTTATATAATGTAATAATAATAATTATGATGATAATAAATAATAATGACAAATAATAATAGTAATAATGAAAGTAATAATATGTGCATAACAAGTTTATGTGTGCTTTGTACAAATAATTGCACAAAAATAGAGGGTAACCTATTTTCAGAACTCGTTAAATGCACAAATTTTGGATCAAAAAAAGAGGGAGATAGCTTATTTTTGGAACTCGCTAAATGCACAAATTTAAAAAGGGTTGTTTATTTCGATGATTGCATAATTTAGAATTCGCCAGAGCTATCACCGAAATTTCGGGTCACGTGACGTTTTTTGATGACGTCAACAATGCGAAAAGGGTTAGGAATCGTCTCTGGATCAATGTATTTATAGTAAAATCTCGCAGTGAACATTTTTATTAGAACATAAAAGATAGTTTCATGGACTAGATTTTGAGATTAAAGCTTTTTTTCAAAAAATATTTCTGTTTTGTTTAGTTTTGAATTTTTGTGTTACACGTTGATCTTGCAATTTAATTGGTCATCATCGCTGACATCATAAAAATTGTCACGTGGCCCGAAATTTCTTAATTTGGGCATGTCTAAAGCCTGGACTATTATATAATCAGTCCGAAACACAAACCAATAAGGATGCGTAAATTTTTAATCAACTCGGCAAAACAAATCGAAGCTGGGTCAAAACATGAAAAATAACGGAAAACAGATGCTTAAATCTATCTTGGTATACTAATAAAAGTGTCGGTGAGGCAATTTTATATAATCTTGATCACAACTCTATGCTTAAAATTAATCTTTAATTATATAGTTATGTATCACGTGATGGACAAGGTTTTAGACGTTTCCTTAATTTGGAAGATTTACGGTACGGGCTCGTAGATATCTTTGTCGCCAACGCTAATACATTATGTATGTTCAACTTCGTAATCGTAAATATTGAAGAAATTAGTCAAAGCAAACCCGGTCGAACTTCTCATAAACTAGAATATTCAGCACATGGGGGTGAGTTAATAGAAACCAAGCAAATTATATATATAAGACATATATATAATTTGCTTGATTTATATTAACTCACCCCCACATGTGAATAATAAAGATCGTTGGAATAATCATTAGAGATAGGTTGGTTCGGTTCCGGTTCTATAGAACCGGGGTTCTAGCAGCGAAACTGAGGTTCCA